CTGTCTTGAGAAATCATTAATCCACAAAATATTTGTCGGATCTTTTAACATATTAACTGTATCTTTGCTGTATCCTGTTTTGACATATTGCCTATAAATTGATCAAAACTATATTGAATATTTATTGACTATTTGATATCCTGAAAACATTCCTGCAAAATCCATTAAAAATGTAATATTCATGTTTAGGCTTTCATCATGTTGCTTATTTTACAGTAACTGTAAAGAGTATCCTGAATTCCAGTTCCCTACATATCTCTCACCTTGTTGATAGGTCAAGGAAGATCCCTTGCAGATTTTCTAGTACTTTTTTTCTAAAACAAACCATAGTGGTACAATCTTTATCTTAACATTTTGGCTACCTAACATTTCAACAGTATAACACTGGCTAATGGGCTAAGGATAGTTTGTCTGCTGAGAACACAGGCAAGTTCATTTTTCAACTGTAAATTGTCCTGCATTTACATATCTTGCTAATAATTTTTAATAACCACATATTAAGGCATCCATATAAAAACAGGGTTCCTGCACCTTTTCAAGAGTCAAATTCAAGAACTTTCAAGGTGCATTTTCAAGCTTTTCCAGCACTGTACAGCTGTGGTAAATTAGGCTTACTATACATATACATAATGTATATACTCAAAATCATTATTTCACATTATTATCACATTCAGTCATATCTTATTGTGCTATAAACAACCAAAATTGTTTTGCTATAGGCTTCTACAGAATATGACAATGTTTCTTGTTTCAAAATGTGTCACCTGTCAAAATGCAAAAGCAACAAAGATCTTGGGCTTATTTTATTTCTTTATCTAAAATAAAGTATATCTTCCTCATCAGTCTCTTCATCACTCATGGGACATTCTTCAAGTAGTATTAATATGACAGTTTTTTTTTTTTTTTTTTTTTACAGTTTACATTGCAACAGCATTATATTAAATACTGGTGTGCCAGGACAAAAAACAGAATCCTTTCCTCCTCTGCCAATAATAACAAACCAGTTTTAATAACCTGCCATTAATAATCATCCTAATAATCATTTCTCAGGAATGCTGCCACAATGTCGCTTTGTTAAATTGGGGTTTACCTGTATTATATAAGCTGGAAGCAGCAGAGAGGACATTGAAGGCAGTGAAGAGGATGGAGGCAGTGAAGAAGACATTGAAGACAGTGAAGAGGATGGAGGCAGTGCAGAGGACAAGAGGACATTGAATTTGAAGATATGGTGGAAGGAAGGTGTGACAAGAATGACGGCAGTAGTGAGGATAATAATAATTTATTTGTAGAGCACCTTTCAAAACAAGGTTACAAGGTGCTTAAGGATGTTTAGTCCTCGTGGTTAGCATACTTAATTCTTTGTCTTACTGCGTGAAAGTCATAATTTACCATTTCAGATAATACCTACATTGTACTGTTGAATCTGATGAGTGCAAAAACTAAATCAGCATTTGAGGGTTTCACTGCATCACAGATTATAACGTCTGCAAGTGCTTTGTTTCTGCTGCAAGAATACTCTGTTCTAGAGCTGTAACAGCAAGTCAGTTGGATGATGCAGAAAGATGTCTCAAATTTTTCTGTAATGCTTTTGAACATAAATATGGAAGAGAGTGGTGTACAATGAACATGCATCTTCATTTGCACCTAAAATCTTGTATCATAGACTATGGTCCTGTTCATGAATTTTGGTGCTTTTCCTTTGAACGGGCCAATGGGACTTTAGGTGGCTACCACACAAATAGCCGTCATGCAGAGCTCATTATGATGCACAATCGGTTGTGAGATTGGCAGGTGCCTCAAAAATCTAAATGCGTACCAAGGCAGCTTGAAGAACATTTTCCTTCTGTTTTTCAGTTCTTTGAAAGGAAACCATCACAACAAATCTACATATTACACATGAAGCACTTGAACAGGCTTAAAATGCTGTCAGACAGTGATAATTTCCAGCATGATGATAGCACATTAGAGACTCTGCTTCCGCCTGGAAAACATGGTGGTATTTCCTATGAATAAAACCAAGCATTGCTTTTGATGTTCAGGACTTTATATGGAAATTACTGTGTCCACTGTGTACGAGTGTCCTACCACAGCACACAGTTTAACAGATACACTCTGGGAGGTGAATTATTATCATCAGAAGACTACAAAGCTGATGCCAACTCGTATGCGTGCACAGTGGTTTTGTAATGACGAGATTTCTAGAGAACATGTTATTGATCCGAGGGCTGAAGCTAGACCAGCTCTAATTTCCAGAATGCTGAAGGTTATTGTGTTTTTGAAAAGAGATCGTAAAAAAAATAAAGCTGAGGCTAAATGGTTTAAACAACACACTGACAGATGCTACTATAGGCAGACCGAGTGGTGTTCTGTATGGGAGACAAACTGTTGTTTCTGTATGCAACGTACCTCCCGCTTAAAAGAATCACAGGTCGCTGTGCCTACACCAAGACCAAGGTTTAGTTTTCAAGAACCAGGGAGGAAACTGTAACCATTGTTGTTCCAGTGTCATCTATAAGATACATTTAGGCACAAGGTTGTGTTGTGGCCCCCACGGCACCATTGATGGCAGATGATGTAAAAATCTGCAAAACAAAACTGCAAAGGTTGCTAAAAAGCAAAGTTTTTGATAATATAGTGCCACGGATTGATTTTCTATTAAATGTTGAACTGATTTTTAATACATTCAGAATGAGAAAATTTAGATGCATTGAAAACGTCTCCGATACCTATATTGTCCGCAAGGGTAGCTGACAGATAAACGCTGTGCTGCTGCCAGAGGAGCCGCTGAATGAGTTCCCTCTGAGCAGTAAGTCACTAAAGAGTCTGAGAAGTCCGGTTTATTCCACACTATTGAAGCTGCTCCTCTTTTTGGAACCACCACGAACCAGTGTGCAGAGACAAACGCTTTCGAATAAACAGCCAAAAGCTAGCCTGTGGACTGGAAAGCCTGCCGCACGAACACATCAAGCTAGTTTAGCCGGATGGCTAAACTAGCCGGATGGCTAAACTAGCCGGAACAGCTAACGTTATGCCCAGTGAAGATCTGTTGCTGAGGAAAGCAAACAAAAAGATCACTGACCATAAAGAGGACATCCGCCGGCTCTCGGATGAGCTGAAAAACAAAGCGTCACTTCTGGCTAGCTGCTTGGATGTGGCGCATGAGCAGTCACTACGGATTGCTCTCCGAGCACGGCTTCCTCTCCACTGGCAGCAGGTGGTATTCGGCCAGTAGCTCTCCGCTCCGCAGAGGGGCCACATCGGCAGCCGTCTTCCCGGGCAACAACCTCCGCATCTCGGCGTAAGATCCTGAAGGAGGCTGTGCTAAGACGCTCCGGAGGTCCCCACTACCCCAAACCGGGAGATAATCCTCCTCACGGGACTGGTGCCGCTGCCTCAGCGCAACACTCGTCTTCTCAGACGTCTTCTCGTCTTCCATCCTCTCCTCGTCCCCTCTTCCCCAACCACTCTGATAGTGGGGGACTCCATAGTGAGAAACATCCGTTTCTTTAACGCTGCCACTTGCTGTTTCCCTGGAGCCACAGTCCCGGTCCTCCTGGATAAGCTCCCGGGGCTGCTGTGCTCACTACCGTCCTCCATAAACCGAGTGGTTATACATGTTGGGACGAACGATTTAGCTCGTCAACAGTCTGAGCTTACCAAAAACGATTTCAGTGCCCTTTTTAACTTTTTAAGCAGCTGTGGAAAGTCCGTTTTTATCTCCGGCCCGATTCCCACACTTGGGCGTGGAGCGTGCCACTTCTCGAGGACCCTCTCTCTCCACACCTGGCTTCTGTCTGCCTGCAATGCCCGTGGCCTTGGTTTTATTGACAATTTTAATCTGTTTTGGAACCGGTCTTACTTCTTCGGGACTGACGGACTGCACCCCAACAGGCTGAGTAGGCACATGCTATCCGCAAACATTCAGCACGCTGTTCAGTCTGCTCCTCATGACTGAATGACTGTTTATATCACACGCCCCCTCCACGGAAACTCTACCTCTACCTGCACCAGTAGTGGCACCAAGTACTGTTCCCCAGCCCTACTGGCCTCATTTGTCACGAACACTCTCACCAGAAACATTCCCGATAGAGACCATCATAAGGTACAGAGCACCCCGTCCACACAGCAGACCTCGTGAAAATAACGTCCTGCACCCCACTTCTATACATCGCACAGGTGATGATGAGCGCACGTTCGGCACGAACATTAACCTGACCGTGCTGAACGTGCGCTCTCTTTTTAATAAATTTTTTTATTATAAAGGACCTGATTTTAGATAACAAGTTGGACAGTATGAGGTGAGAACAACAGCACCTGTTGTTTTCACCGAGGCCTGCCCAACAAATTTTGACTTTTTATTCTCTACTAGGGGGGTTAAAAAAGGAGGCGGAACTGTATCTATAACCAAAAGTACACTGCACTCAAATGAAGTTTCTTTTAACAGTTACACATCATTTGAGTATTGTGATATCGTCGGATATCCACTAAAGGAAGGAGACATCTCTTCAGTTGAGCTGACTTTATTTGCAGGACTTCTCAGGTAACATCATAACACGGCACAACCTGTCGGTACCATCTTGTGTCACTGCTATAGACACACTGCATAATCATCAGATGCAAAATACAAGTGCTCCCTCTACAGGCCTTGAACTGTAATAACATGCAATAGCCACAATAGCCACTTTACAACATCCCTCCTCTCTTAAGTTCAAACTTCACTGTTTACAGGCAATCCAACGCAACATAACCATGCCAATTGACCGTATGACCAAAACATAACCACAAGCATCCTCTGTTGACATTTTTTTTCTTTTTTTTTTTTTTATATACCGAAAAAATAAAAAAAACAATATACATATATAAATCCGAAAACCATTAACTTTACAGTCTCAGCCCAAAATATGATAAAGGAAATGAGGATAAGGTTCAGTTTTCACTGTAGAGCTACCCTACTTGCTTAAAGAAAACACTGTATTTCCTCTGCATAGTAAACATAACTTTTACTTCACAACAAAGTCTTTCATATGGGCTGGTGGTCTCCTGTTTCTTTGAGATCTGATCAACTCCTTAGTGGGCGAACCACCAGGTGTACTGTTCTGCTTATTCTGATTCCCAGTAGGGAGAACTTTATCATCCGCTTGTGTAGTACTTGTGTCCTGTGGCCCTAGGTTGGTCACTGTTGGAGGTACCACATATTCCTCAGGTATTGAATCTGGTATCAACACTGGCAGATCTTGCTCCGGTCTGCTGAACAGTTGATCCACGTGTCTCCTGACAACTTTACCATTTCCCAGCAGCACTGTGTAAGAAACTGGTCCTGTGATCTCCTGTATCAGTCCTGGTACCCATTTAGGTCCACATCCATAGTTTCTGGTATAGATCGAGTCTCCTGCTGCAAAGTTGCGTTCTTTTGCATGTTGGTCATGGTGAGCTTTTTGGCTTGCTTGTTTTGACTCCACCTTTTTTTTCAAATCGGGGTGTATGAGATCCAGTGTACACCTCAACTTCCGACCCATCATCATCTCGGCAGGTGAAAGTCCAGTAGTTGACTGTGGAGTGATGCGATATCTAAACAGAGCCCTGTTTAACCTTGTCTCCACTGTGTCACCGCTGCTCTTTTTCATGAGCTCTTTAAAAGTCTGTACGGCCCTTTCCGCCAAGCCGTTGGATGAAGGGTGGTACAGTGCTGATGTGACATGTGTGATTCCATTTTGTGTCATGAAATCTTTGGTTTGTTCGCTGACAAAACACTGGGCATTGTCAGACACAATCATCTCTGGAATACCATGTGTGCTGAAACTGTTTCTCAGACAGTTTATTGTGTTTGCTGATGTAGCTGATGTTACTGGATATACATCTAACCACTTTGAGTGTGCATCCACAATGTCTAAGAACATTTTATCCATAAAGGGACCTGCATAATCTATGTGGAGCCTCCTCCACGGCTTCTCTGGCCACTCCCAGGGGTGGAGTGGTGCACAGGCAGGTGCCTTTCTGTGTTCTTGGCATGTGGTGCATGACTTTACCTTATTCTCTATGTCATTGTCCATATGTGGCCACCACATATAACTTCGTGCCAGTCCTTTCATGCGGCTCATTCCCGGGTGTGACTGATGTAACTGTTCCATCATGGGAGCTCGTCCCTTCTCTGGTATCACAATGCGGGCTCCCCACAGCACACAGCCGTCCTGTACACTCAGCTCTTGTTGTCTTTGTCGATAATGCACAAAGTCTCTGTCCTGATTCTTTGGCCATCCTCTCAGCACATACTCACGTACTCGTGAGAGTATAGGATCCTTAGTTGTCCATTTTTTAAGCTGCTCTGAAGTCATCAGTGGTGGATGCTCCTGATCCAACATTAGCACATGTTCCTCTGGTGCCGAAACACTTGGTGTCTCTGGAAGTGGGAGACGGCTAAGAGCGTCAGCGTTACCATTGTTTTTACCTGCTCTGTACATGATAACATACTCATATGCTCTTAACAGTACAGCCCATCTCATTATCCTCTGGGATGCCATCTGTGGCACTGCTTTCACCTCATGGAATAAACCTAGTAGTGGCTTATGATCTGTGTAAATCACAAATTTCCTTCCATAAAGATACTTGTGAAAATACTGTACCCCAAAGATGACAGCTAGTCCCTCTTTATCTAGCTGGGAGTAATTCTTCTCTGCGGCTGAGAGCGTGCGTGATGCAAACCCTATAGGTTTCTCTGCTCCATCTGACATGCGGTGAGCCAGCACGGCTCCAACTCCGTATGGAGAAGCGTCACAGCACAGTATCAGTTCTTTTTTTTCATCATAGTGCACTAACACACTGCTTGATTGCAAAAGCTCCTTTGACTGCTTGAAAGCTTCTTCTTGCTCGGGTCCCCAAGACCACAGTTCATCCTTCCTCAACAACTTATGCATAGGTGCCAGTAATGTTGACAGGTTTGGCAGGAACTTATTGTAGAAGTTCAACAGTCCCAAATAAGCTTTTAGCTCCATCACTGATGTGGGAGTGGGGGCCTCCTGAACTGCTTTCACCTTTGTTGGCAGTGGATGTAACCCTGTCTTATCCACTCGATGTCCCAAGAATGTCACTTCTTTCTCCATAAACTCACACTTGCTCCTTTTTAAGCGAAGTCCTGCATCCTCCAGTCGCTGCAGTACTTGATCCAGTGTTTGCAGGTGATCTTTATCATCCTTTCCTGTCAGAATGATGTCATCCAGATACACTGCAACATTTGCTAATCCCTGCAGCACCCCCTCCATGGTACGCTGAAAAATGGCTGGACTGGAGCTCACACCAAAAGGTAACCTTGTATATGTGAACAGTCCCTTATGTGTGTTCACTGTGACATATTTCCGTGATTCCTCTTCCAGTACAATCTGTTGATATGCATGGCTCATATCTAACTTGGTATATTTCTCTCCTCCAGTTAGACAGGCTATCATGTCCTCCATTTTTGGAATGGGGTACTGTTCAATAGGGGACACTTTGTTTACTGTGAGTTTATAGTCCCCACAAATTCTTGCTCTGGTATCTGGTTTCAAGACTGGTACAATGGGCGCAGCCCATTCTGAGAACTTCACTGGTTCTATGATTTTCTCTTGTAAGAGCCTCTCTAACTCTTGCTCTACTTTCTTTTTCATTGCAAAAGGCACTGACCTTGGCTTATAGAAACAGGGTGTGGCATCGCTAGCTACATGTATTTTTGCCTTGAAGCCTTTCAATCTCCCTAACTCTGCTTTGAACACTGTTTCATGCCTTGACAGCACTTCCTGTATAGGGTCTTCTCTGTCCTCTATCTTATGTACAGGTTGCCAGTCCTCTTTGAGAGCTTTAAGCCAACCTCGTCCCAGTAGACTTGTCCCTGAACCTTTGACAACCACTACTGCTAACATCTTAGTCATGCCTTTGTGTTCAACTTTGACCTTTGTTGCTCCTACTATGGGCACTTTATGGCCACCATATGTTCTCAGTTTTATCCTGCACTTGGCTAGTCTGGGTTTGACGCTATCACTGAATAGCTTGTGAAATGCCTTCTTTGACATAATGGTGTACCCACAGCCGGTATCTACCTCATAAGTTACAAGTTTCCCATTTACTTTTATTTCTTTTTTTATGGGCTCTTCTCTGGGGATGACTATCTCGTCATTTATGTTGTACATGGTTATTGCACTATCCTTCATGTGATACATAGTGGAAACTTCATCACTATCACCGTCTTCCTCTTGCATGAAGTTAGCTTTTTTTTTCTGTTTGCTTTTCTCCCCTTTAAAGTTCTTAGTCTTGTCCTTTCCCCCTATTTTCATCCTGCAGGCCCTCTTTATGTGCCCCACTTTACCACAATTGTGGCACTTCTCATTAGCAAACCTGCAGTCCTTAGCCAAATGGCTGTCTCCGCCACATCTGTAGCATGTCTTCATGTCACGCTGAGGTTTTGAACGCGTGTCGTTCACCTTGTTGACAGAGCCTGCCGTACGGCTCCATTTGCCCTGCTCTTTCATGCCATGCAAATCCATGATGTCCCTGTTTGCCGCCTCCATGGCCTGCGCAAACTTGAGGGCTTTGTCAAACGTCAATCCGTCCTCCGACAGTAGCCTCCGCTGGATCCTGTCGTCATTTATGCCGCATACGAGACGGTCTCTTAGCATCACCGTCAAAGATTCTCCGTAATTGCAGTCCTGCGCCAGCTTTCTCAGCTCTGCCACATAGTCACTCACAGACTCCTCCGGCTTCCTGTTTCTGGTATTAAACTTCCATCGTTGCATTATTTCACTTGGTTTCGGGTGAAAATGATTTGTCAACAGTCTTACCAGGTCACTGTAGGACTTATCACCCAGTTTGTCAGGGCTGAGCAGGTTTCTCATCAGTGCGTATGTCGGGGCGCCCACACCACTTAGCAGCACAGCCCGTGTCTTTTCATCATTGTCGATGTCGTTCGCCACGAAGAAATGGTCCAAAATCTCACAGTACTCTTCCCAAGTCTGTGACTTGCTATCAAAAGGTGACACCGACCCCACCGTGGCAGCCATGGTTCTTCACTAAAGAGAGCGCCCAGCTTTCTTCAAGCTAACAGCACGTCAATAGCTCACGGACAGTTAGCACTAGCCTAGCTTCACTTAGCTCGTTAACTCAGCCAGCACTACTCTCGTCGACTTGACTTGCCGTATCCACTTCAGGCTTTCATCCTCGTCGCCATATGTGATATCGTCGGATATCCACTAAAGGAAGGAGACATCTCTTCAGTTGAGCTGACTTTATTTGCAGGACTTCTCAGGTAACATCATAACACGGCACAACCTGTCGGTACCATCTTGTGTCACTGCTATAGACTGCATAATCATCAGATGCAAAATACAAGTGCTCCCTCTACAGGCCTTGAACTGTAATAACATGCAATAGCCACTTTACAACAAGTATCATGCCTTTGTGATAAATAATATATGAACAAAATACTATAATTATTATTATTGTTATTATTATACTTGTGTTATAATTGTCCAGATCTTTGATAGATATGTCACAGATCCAGACGTTTGCATGCCACTGGACCTTTTGGGACAGCCTCACATTGCATACAACAGATTAGGCTACGGATAAATTAGCTAATGATGATTAAACAATGTTAGCATCTGTGACAAATCATTAAACATATCTGTCTGTGCATGACCCTGAATCTTCTCACATAAGGGTGTTAAAACACAGTAAAGTCATATTGTATTGACATCACTTCCCAGTGAAGGATCACCTTCATGCAACATATTTATTTATTTACTTAATGTAAACAGTTTAAAGAGAACAGCTGCACTCACTACAGTATATGCAGTTGCCTGACAATCCATAGATGCCATTTTGCCCGATCTGCAATCTTTGTGATATATGAATCTGGAATTCTTAGGGATATGTTACAGATATCAAATTTGGACAATATCACTATAAGCATCTGTGACAGATCAGATCCGGCCACACTCTCTCTGTAAACGTTAGCGATATGTGACAGATCCATAAACTTGTTTACCATTGGATCTTTCCGGATACAGGTCCTTTTTGTCCAGTGAAATATAATTTGAGTCTTACCATTGTTTTCAAGTCTTCATCTTCCTAAGCTCTTCTTGAACTAAATTGTAACCGTTCTTAACAGAACTATTTACATAATCCAACCATCTTGGTTTAATTTAAGTCATCATGGAGGAGGAGGATGGCATCCACCATAGACGGCTTAGGCGCAGTCAAGCCGTTTGTATGGTATGAGCGCAGCTATTACATCTGCGCCCTGGTCTGTCACCCACACGACTTTATTGAGCACACTAATGTCCAATCCGAGCTCTCTTATAAGTCTGATTATTTCTCTCCTGATATTGTCGCTTGTTTCAGCGTCCTCTGGTGGAAACACTGCTGTTGTCAACACTACTGTTCATTTTGAATTCCAGTGACACAAAATGGCAAGTGATTATCACGTAGCTTAATTTGTGGTAATCTTCTGTCTAAATGTCAGTGGTCATTCCGATTGTATTTACTTCATTAAATATTTCATTTACAGTAGCTGCTCAATCAGTTGCTTAATTGATTCTGTGGCCAGCTCATGACACCATCTAGACACAGATGTGGGGTCCAGCAGTATGTCCCTTGCTGACCCAGGACCATATGCAGCACCTGTGTTAATAAGCTCTTGAGCTGATTCCATAAAACCATCTCCTGCAAAGGAATGAAACAGTCTTATATCTTTGCAGCAGTATGCCATGCACTGATCTATGACCTTTGCTCTTGTCTGCTATGTGATTTTCTTTGAGCAGGTGGTAGAGAAGCCAGTGATAGTAGTTTCAAACCACTTGCTGTTGTATCTCATCAAAGTCCCACATATTTTACATTTTACAAAACCTTATTATCACCTGCATCGACGACTAAATCAAAATGCCACCATACCGCCAATTTCCCTGTGTGTTTTCGGCAGTTTTAAACTTTACTGATAGCAAATTTTGTCTAGCGTCCTCCATTTTCATTAGTTCAGTCTTAATACTGCCTCCTGCCTGAAATACAATGTAAATGTGGGTTGCGACAGGCCCGTCGAGCTTGGGTCGGGTATCCACACTCTAGTGTTGTCTGTCTGACATGGATCAGGTGATCAGGGTCAGAGTGTGTCACCAAAAATCAGGAGCTCCTAAAGGAAAAGTCAGGATACAGAGAGAACAAGAAAACTAAGGAGCAGAGAGGTGATGACCAAATGTGAAGAACAGTAGGTATGACAGGAGGAGCTTAAGGTGAGAGGTGAGGCAGACTAATATTAACAAATAAAATTTGCTGTATCATGCTCAGTTTTAAAGCTACAGTGAAAACATAGATATTATATTAAACTGAAGGACCTAAATGTACGTTCACACCAACAGCAACCAGAGCTTCCAAAATGGCGGAAGTCATTCATTTTCAATGAGAGTCCGGCGACTTGGGTGACCTGTTTGTCAGCCGCGCGTCTTGGGCAACCAAAGCGACCGGAGCAGTCTGGAGGGGAGTTAAAATTTGTTTAACTTCATGCAGACCTGCCAACCTGTACGCATTTTGCGTACCAGGCACGCATTTTGACATCAAAGTACGCTTGATCTCGCCGGTTTCAGTCTATTGATCTATGCAAGTTGTCACTCTCAAGTTGATGCCTTATATTCTATGGCACTGCAGTGAGCATAGGCGGAAGGCCCTCTTCGCCCACACCTCTGGGTAGTCCTCAGTGATGACTTTATAGTCAATTCAAACCAGGTTGAAAAGGTAAAATGACGTGACAAATGCAAAAATTGAGAGCTTTGAGAGCTTCTGTCTGTAAACAGTTAGCTTGTGTCTGTTAGAGTTAGCTTCTATCTCTTAGCAGTTAGCTTCTGCCTGTAAACGGTAAGCTACTGTCTCTTAGCAGTTAGCTTCTGTCTGTTAGCAGTTAGCTCCTATTAGCTCCTCACCGTCAGCTCAGACCGGAGTTACGGTGTGTTCAGTCTGGTAAACGGTATCAGGCTGATAGCTGGAGCCACAAAACATTACATTTAAAATTCATTTTTACTGCATGTCAGTTACAAAAACAGTGTAAAGAAGTGACTTGTAACGACTGTAACACTGTTGTCTAGCACTGCGGTCACGCCATCTGTGCTTCGAAGAGGTGCTGTCGCGCTATCTACACTTGAAAATCTACACGTCTACATCGTTTCGTACAGTAAAGCGTGTAGACGCCGAAAGGGCTTCATGGTGCATTCAAATGCAACCTTGTAATTTCAGAAATCTATACTCTAATGGTCATGAAGGTTGTTTCAAACGGGAAAGTTGCTTTTTTGTTCTTATTTTCATTTGTTGAAATACAAACATCTGTCATTACTTTCTTGTTCTTTTACTACAGCCTTTTAAATGATCAAATAACGAACCAAAACCAATCGGCCATTCAGTATCCTATTCATTTCTACATAGGCAGATTCTATGAATTTCGAAAAAAAAAAAAAAAAAAAATCATATCAAACTATTTTCAACAAATTGCACCAGATTATTGTTCAACATGTCCCCAGGTACCTCTGTGATCATTTCTAATAATTACATGATAAAATCATAACAATCTGATATACTCGTACTCGTCGTACTCGTCGTACTCGTCGTCCTCCGCTTATCCGGGTCCGGGTCGCGGGGGCAGCAGCCTCAGCAAAGAAGCCCAGACAGTCCTCTCCCCAGCCACTTCCGTCAGCTCTTCTGCGGGAACCCCGAGGCGTTCCCAGGCCAGCCGGGTGATGTAGTCCCTCCAGTGTGTTCTGGGGCGGCCCCGAGGTCTCCTCCCGGTTGGACACGCCCGAAACACCTCCCAAGGGAGGTGTCCGGAAGGCATCCTTACCAGATGCCCGAACCACCTCAACTGGCTCCTCTCAATGTGGAGGAGCAGCGGCTCTACTCCGAGTCCCTCCCGGATGTCTGAGCTCCTCACCCTATCCCTAAGGCTGAGCCCAGCCACCCTGCGGAGGAAACTCATTTCGGCTGCTTGTACTCGCGATCTCATTCTTTCGATCACTACCCAGAGCTTGTGACCATAGGTGAGGGTTGGAACGTAGATTGACCGGTAAATTGAGAGCTTCGCTTTCTGGCTAAGCTCCCTCTTCACCACAACGGACCGGTTAAGCGCCTGCATCACTGCTGACGTCGCCCCAATCCGCCTGTCAGTCTCCCGCTCCATCCTACCCTCACTCGTGAACAAGATCCCGAGATACTTAAACTCCTCCACCTGAGGAAGGACCTCCCCCCCGACCTGGAGTGGGCACTCCACCCTTTTCCGGCTGAGGATCATGGCCTCAGACTTGGAGGTGCTGATTCTCATCCCAGCCACTTCACACTCGGCTGCGAACCGTCCCAGCGAGAGCTGGAGGTCACTGTTCGATGGAGCTAGGAGGACCACGTCATCCGCAAAAAGCAGGGACGAGATCCTCCCGTCACCGAACCTGACACCCTCCACCACTCGGCTGCGCCTAGAAATTCTGTCCATAAAAGTTATGAACAGAACCGGTGACAAAGGGCAGCCCTGGCGGAGTCCAATCCTCACCGGGAACAGGTCCGACTTACTGCCAGCCACGCGAACCAGACTCATGCTCCTTCGGTACAGGGACTGGATGGCCCTTAGCAAGGGGCCACCAACCCCATACTCCCAGAGCACCCCCCACAGGATGCCCCTGGGGACACGGTCGTAAGCCTTCTCCAAATCCACAAAACACATGTGGACTGGTTGGGCAAACTCCCATGCCCCCTCCAGCACCCTGGCGAGGATAAAGAGCTGGTCCACGGTTCCGTGTCTGGGACGAAAACCACATTGCTCCTCCTCAATCTGAGGTTCAACTATCGACCGGACCCTCTTCTCCAGCACCCTGGAGTAGACCTTACCGGGTAGGCTGAGGAGTGTGATCCCCCTGTAGTTGGAACACACCCTCTCACACACCCCGGTCTGCCACTCCAGAGGCACTGCCCCCGATGTCCATGCAATGTTGCAGAGGCATGTCAGCCAGGACAGCCCTACAACATCCACAACATT